GTTCCCCCCCCTCATAATCAGGCGTTGCTTCGACTTGTACAGGTATAAGGAAAAGAAATGAATAATTCATCAAAATATCAGCAAAAAAAGAGGAAAAAAGAAGAAAGATAAAATTAATTTATTTTATTTAGTTGCCAGGCTTTGCAGAAAGTAATCCTCCTCCTTATACCGTCATAAATATTGCTGCAGAAGCTCAATTAATAACGGTGTGTTTCCTTGGAAATTTAACTATTTATTCTTCTTTGTTTTAAGTAGTTTTATGCATTTAATGCCATATTTAGTATTGTTTTTTATTTGTTTTATCTTTATTTTATTATTTTATTGATTTTTCCGTTTTTCCCCCCTAATTTTGTGCCTTTTTACCCTTAAATATATACTCTTGAATATTCCTTTTTGTTTGCATGCACGCCGCAACAGGACCCATTAGAAGGTAAATAAATAATGGTTTTTTTATTTTCCTTCTGTTGTTTAACCAAATTTATTCATTATTTAAGAGTTAAAGAGAAAAGAAGAGGTAAATTTTCTTATTATTGCTAATAAAAACGCCGTTATTTTCCTCTTTTTATTTCTTGTTTTCTTTCCTTTTCCCTCATTTGTTACTACAGAGGAAAGCACAGATAAGAAGCACACATGATATCAATCAGTACGCTTGCTGCACCAGCATGAATGCAGAAGCAGCATGCATGCATGCATGCATGCAAAAGCAGCAGTAAATAAATGGTTAATAATAGACAGATAAAAGAGAACAACAAGGCGTATAAAACACTAGCAGCAGCAAGTAATAAGCTAGCAGGTAAAAAGAAATAAAATAAAATAAAATAAATAAATAAAAATAAATAAATAGATAAAAATAATAATTTATTCCTTTTGTTGTTTTATTCAAGTGCGGATACACCGTCTGCGGAACACAACCCACTGAGACGCAGCAGATACTGCTGCTGCTGCTGCTGCTGCTGCTGATGCTGCAGTAGGAGCAGCAACAGCAGCAGATTCAACTCTTGCTGCTATTAGGACCCTTAATGTTACACATTAAAATGCCACAACAACGCCGTCAGCAGCAGCTGCTGCAGCACTTGCTGCAGCAGCAGTTTGCTGCAGTGTTGTGTGTGTTGCAATTGTTTTAGTGCAGCAGCGCATGCAGTTGCTGCTACTGCTGCTGCTGCTGCAGGTAAGGAGGAGTCTGTCTTATTTTTTTCCCTCTTTGCTCCATTCTTGCTGCATAGTTTTCCCTACTTCTTCTTATTACATTTTTAAATAAATCCTTTAGATCTAATCCATTGGAAGTGCTGCTGCTGCTGCTGCTGCCACTGCTGCTGCTGCTGCCACTGCTGCTGCTGCTGCCACTGCTGCTGCTCCTGCTGTCATGCGGCAGCAAGTCGGTGGGGCTTTGGGACTCATCTGTTAGCCACTCACAGCGAGATGAAAATGCATGCAGGGGCGGTAGCTGCTGCTGCAGGCGTTCTGCAGCAGCAGCAGCAGCAGCTGCTGCTGCTGGATCAGCACAGAGACGATACAGTCTCTTTAGATCCCCCAGCAGCGGATGCTGCACCCAGAAGGAAATAGAAGGGAAGACAGATTCCTGTGCTGCTCGTGCTGCTGCTGCTGCTGTTGTTGCTGTTGGTGTTTTCCCCTTAAGTAGTGCAGCAAAAGCAGCAGCAAGATCCTGCAGTTGCGTCTCTCCATCATCATCAGTAAGTGTTGCTGCTGCAGCATATGCAGCAGCAGCAGCAGATAGGGGCTCAAACCCAGACCAGAGAAGAGGCCCTGCTGTTGCTGTATCTGCTGCTGTATCTGTTGCTGCATCTGCTGCTGCATTTGCTGCTGCCTCTGCTGCATCTGCTGCTGCTGGTCCCTGTACTGGAGGGACAGCAAAGGGAGGGCAGCAAGGAGGAAGGCCTGTAATAGGATCCGTGCTGCTAATAAATTGACGTAAAGCCTGCAGCAACACAGCAGCAGCAGCAGCAGCAGCAGCAGCAAAGAACACCAATACATGATAACAATATCATAAGGAGCAGCAGCAGGTGCAGCAACAGCAACAGCAGCAGCAAATAATATACCTTATAAATAGGTAGATACATGCATTATGCAAATCCAATAGAAATACATTAAACAACAAAAAAAAACAGCAGCAGCAACAGCAGCAACAGCAGCAGCAACAGCAGCAACAGCAACAACAATGATAATAATGTATGTGATGAATAAATGTGATTATATGTATGTTATAAAAAAAAAAGATAAATAAATTTAATTAATTAAATTTATAAATATTATTATTTATAATAATAAATATAATCAATAAATAAGATGAATAAATAAGATAAATAAATAAGATGAATAAATAAGATAAATAAATAAGATAAATAAATAAATAAATAAGATGAATAAATGTATTGAAGAAGTTTATAGTTTAATTGTTGATTATATAAATCGTTGTATAGATAGTTATATCTAATTATATATTCATACAAACCCATATAAATAGGCATATATATATATATAT